TTGAAGTAATCTTTGTGCCACTGCAATGGGTGTTGGTCCCTAGACAACCTCTCTATAGAAGTTCTTGTTCCCTCTAATCTGTTCTCCACCCTGCAGCCAGATGATACTTTTAAAACACCTGATTAAGATATTCCTTTTCTTTAAAACACTTCAGTGGCTTTTCATTGCCAAGGATTATGATTTATAATCCTAGATTTACTACTTACCCACTAAACCTTAAAGAACAAAAGAATAAAATGGTATAAATGTAGTCTAAATGGCCAGCATTGATTTATAAGGAAGGAAAGGTAAGGCAAGGTAGATGAATTATGATAAACAAAAAAATCAGACTTAAGTCCATCCCACATTTTGTATTTGTTTCTCAGATTTTACTTCTAAAATCAGTGCTTTGGGCAAAGGGCCAGGTACCAAGTCTTTTTCTCTTCCTTCCACTTTTAATTAACATTTCATTCCTTCAGGGCCTACTGAAATGCTTGGCTAAGTAGGTTCATAAGCTTATGAGTGTTAATAAGTCAATGTACTATGCATTTCCACATACAGTGTTTCTGTTTTAATAAAGTCCTTCACGACTTTTCCACAGGATGACCTATGAAAGGTATTTCAGACCCTGAAGCAACAAGCTGAGAGGAAAATTTGAGCAAATGAGCATTTGAATACATCTCTTAAACCCCAGGCTCTTGCTCTGCCTGTGAATAGAACTGGCCCTGAAGGGAAGAATTCCATTGCCTTTGTATAATCTGCACCACTTAGGAGAGGCTTTCATACTACTCTATATAACCCTATCATGTAGCACAACTTCAATATCAGCAGTAATATTTTGCTATCCATCTGTGGTTCCTACTTGAATTGCCCATATGTTTTTTTTAATAAAATAGCTTTATTTAGATACAGTAAGTTATATCTAAATTCATCCATTTAAAGTATACAGTTCAGTAATTTTTAGTAAATTCTCAGAGTTGTACAACCATCATCACTATCTAATTGTCAAACATTCTCATCATTTCACAGAGAGAAACCCTATACACATCTGTGGTCATTCCCCATTCCCACCCCCACTGCCCCAGCCCAGCACTAGGTAGCAATCTATTTTCTGGCTCAATGGGCTTGCCTATTCTGAACTTTTCATACAAATGGAACTATACAATATGTGACCTTTTGTGACTGGCTTCTTTTCACCAGCATAATGTTTTCAAGATTCATCAACATTGTAGCATGTGTAATACTTCATTCCTTTTAATTGCCAAATAATATTCCATTATATGGATCTACCACCATTTGTTTATTTATTCATCAGTTAGTGGATGTTTGGGTTGTTTCCACTTTTTGTCAATTATGAATAATGCTGCTAGCATGCAAGTTTTGTATAGAAATATATTCTCAATTCTCTTAGATATATATCCAAGAAAATGTTGCCTGACCCAAAGTTACAATGACTTACCTTTGTTTTCTTTTTTAAGAGTTTTATAATTTTAGCTTTTGACTTTAGATCTAGGATCCATTTTGTATTAATTTTTGTATATGGTGTAAAATTGTTGTCTAACTGCTTTCCTTTTCATGTAGATATCAAGTTATCCCAGCACAATTTGTTGAAATTGAATACGGTTTTAAATCACACATTAGGAAGCTATTAGAGTAGCAGTTATATTAGCTCTCCGTCATTGAGTGTTCTTCTAAGTAAATTCAACTCTGAGAGGCTTCAGGTATTAGTATTTGGTTCTATAGGTTTGTAGGTTTGTATGAACAGTATATTTCTTATTGCTTCTGAATATTTTGTGAATTTAGTTCTGTTGAATATCTTGTGTTTGGATGTATTTCCCTTACCCAAAGTAAATATATCATATGTTGTATTTAAGGTTAAAATGGGTAAGAACTGATAGAAGTGATTAATCTTGGCTTACTAAGAGCTAGAAATCTATCCATTTATTTCCTCAAGAACAAATTTGTGAGCACATATTAACACCTAATAGTGTAATGAATAAAACATAGTTCTTTGTCCTCAAGGAATGTATTAAAGGGAGAAGAAAAAAAAGTACATGAGTAGATATTTAATATGTGAGATGTTGATATATGGTAAGAATAAATTAAAACAGAGTAACAGCGTACAGGGTGATGTAGAAAAGGCTTGCTAGTTTACATAGAGTAGCTGGTGCTCTTTGATTAGACAACATTTAGTCAGAAACTAAAGGAAAATTGCAGGGAACTATCTCTGCAGAGGCACTAAAGAAGATTATTCCATATAGCGGAAATGGCAAATGCAGTGATCTGAGATGGAAAATGCTTGGTTCAGCTCAGATTTTCCTTCTTTCTCTGAATTTATAGTGCAAACATCATAATTACTGTATCCATCCCAATTCTACCAGTTTCTTTTCTACAAATACTTTGCTATAATGGATTATCCATTGTACCATAACTAAGAAAATTCAGTTTAGATTGTGCTTCAAAATTAGATAAGTTTGCAACTAAGACAAAAACAACAAAATATCAAAACATTTTACAACATTACATTTTGCTTTCTTCAAGAAGTACTATTTCTGATGTTGCAACTTCAATCCATTCAACAAAACTTAACTGAATGCTTATGATGATATTTCCCAAATCATAATTTGTAGACCATATTTGTAGTTCACTTGGGACTGGACAATGGTTTGTGCAAGTAAAGATAGTCTTCACTGATTTATGTTAACTACATTTTGTATTCTGACAATATAGAATGTATCGAATGCCACTGGGATGACTTAATTCCAAGGAGCTTCATGTTAAGGAATTTGGATGGCTTACAGTCTACTTTGAGCATCATCTGCTGTGACACATTGGGTGTGTGTCATGGGGTCAGTTCATCACTTATGCCACATTTGGCTATGGTAATTCAGTGACTCATTAGGGAATGTTAGAAAAATCAGATATTGTTGCCTATCTACTATGTTCCCACTGAATATCAATATCCAAAGAGAAGATATACTTGCTGTGAAAATTTCAATGCATTTTACAGCCATTACTTTTCTTAAAAATGTCAATTTGGAGTAATGTCCTGAAAATCAGTGCCCAGTCTTTCTCAATTCCTCCTCACTCATGTTTGTGATCTCTATTTCAGATTACTTTAGGCAGTTGGCAATCTTAAGTGGCCTGTACATGTGAAAAATTTAATACCTTGAATATTTAAATTTGGAGTATTTCAGAATATACTCAAGTAAATTAAAATGCAGTTATGGAATGCCGTCTTGCCTTTTCACTAAATATATTCAATTCCTATCCATTGCCTAAGGTAAATTAATCCTTTCTGCCCTTGAATGCACATTAAAAGTCTTATAACTTGCCTAGCACTTTTATGTATTATATATCTTGACTGCCATGACCTGGGAGCATATCCTAGCGCTATAGAGGGTTCTCAATAAATATTTATCAATGCATTGTTATTAAGGCTTAAAAGTATTAGGGAGATAATACTTCCCATGGAGTTGAATCCCAACTTTTCTTCTATTTTCTTGTTTTAGTTTTATTTTATTTGTACGGCTTTGGTTTAAAAAAATTAGGAGAGGATGAATGGTAAGAAAAGTTTCAAGTGTGTTATTCCTTTAGGGATATTTTTCTTTGGTTTTACTTGCCCTGTGGTCGGAAATAGATTTCAACTTTAAAAAAGGTTGTACTGAGTCTTGATGGCTACTTCCTTTAAATGTGGCTAGAATGATGGTCTTTAAAGGGTGTTACCAGATTAAATCTCTGCCAACTAAGGAAGGTGGAGCTGTGGGGGAATGAGGCTTTGTTTAATCAGGTTGTATAATGTTTTGCTGAGACATGTTGGGAAAAGCAGTCCATGGTAATGTGGACTTAATATGAAATCACAGTCTGAAGCACACCTTATAAAATTTAGAGATCTCTTGCTATTCTCTTGGGAATTTGTATACCAGAAATGTTAGGGAAAATTAATTAACTCCATTAAACACACACACACACACACACACACACACAACCCCTTCCCTAATATTTTTGGGACTGGAAAGAGATTACAGAGGCCCACATACAATATATCAAATTATAAATTTTGGTAAATATCTTTGAATGAAGTGTGTTCTATTCTCTTACCTTAAAAAATATACACCTTCAGGCAAAATTTTCAAATTTAAAATTCTTTGATACATTGGAGCTTCATGTCTAAAAAGTGGAGTCACTGGGAGAGCCTGCTCCAAAGCCCACAGCTCAGGCCTTCTTCCCGTCACTTCCCCAGCTCTATCTCACAAGGTGAGAGGTCTCAAGAGTGTGCAATGTGGCCATATCTTCCCACAGATCCATATCAGATCCCTCGCATACAGGTGCCCTTGGGCAGCCTTCATGCCTTTGGCTGTTTAATACAGATGGAAAAATCTGTGCCTTGTAACAGATAAGGGAAGAAATCGAAGCAGGCTGATGTCCATTTGGATGGAGAATTCTGGAAATCCAGGTAACCAGAGAAGGGGCATAGCTCAGGCTCTGGATAGGTACAACCCTTCAGTTCTTGGAGACTTTGTCTTGCATAAAGAGATGTAGTCAGGGAAGGCAATGAGATTCTCTGAAGCATCAGGTCCAGAACAGAACTCCCTTCTTGCCTGGGTCAAAGAGCCATACTCTGTGTGTGTATGCCAAGCATTGCTGCCTATTTATCATTTAAATATAAAATTTAATATGTAATCACACACCCATTATCATATCTAAGAGAGGTGTAACCTTATGGATGATCCAAAGGGATGAGCAATATGACACATTTGTCACTGGGTGCACTTCAACTGTCAGTTGACTGTGGAGATCTAAATAATTCAAATACATGATGCGTTATAAAGAATCTGAAGCCCCTCTCAGAAAGGCTTGGAAAGCTGTCAAGTTTGCCTCATCTATGTACTGAAGGATCAACTTCATCTCACTCCTTACCACACTGCATTGCACTGTGGGAAAATGAGAAGCATTACCTTCTGCTGAGCAGTGCCTAGCAGGGGACTGACACGGGAGCTTCTTTCAACTAGGTGCCTCACCTCATTGGTGGCTTCACATCCTCTTCCTCTGAGAGCTCCTGCTCTTCTTGTATGCACTTTGGAAGGGATAATGATACTGAAAAGAGATAATCAACAAAATGAAGCATGTGAATAAGAAAGTTTTTATGTGTGAATGTGGCTTCAACTTTTTAAAAGGGTAATGTTTCAGCTAGTGTCTGTATTTCAGAAGTGATGCCAAAGACGAGTATAGGTAATAGAAGTCATCAAAATAAATAAGATGCCACAAAGTATTTCTTAAGACAATGAATCAGATGTTTGAGCAAATATTGCAAATATATGTATGTGAACTACTGAGGTTTCGTGCTGTATTTAATAGTCTTGGATAACTTGAACTTGTGAATATAATCTGTTGGTGATCTGATTTGCCAGAATTTGTACCGAGACACTATGTTTCACTGATAAATGTGGATTTCCTTATTACCTACCATGTTCTCAAATATTTTATGAAGAAGAAAGTGGGTAATTGGCCTACATAAACAAACAGAAAGGGAGCAAGAGTGCAGGCTCCCTGAGGACAAGGACATCTTTCTGACTCACCACCCTGCTACCAGAACCTGGAATCCAGCATGGCCCATAGTAGGGTCTTCAGTAAGTGTTTGTTGGCTAACAAAACAATAAGTGAGTTAATTGAGTAATTTATAACAAATACTGGCACTGGCCCAGGGATTAATGTTTTAGTTGATTACTGTTTTGTATATTGTATGGCTTTAAATATTGTCATAGGTAAAGAAAATGAGATCAACCTGCCCAAGATAACATTGCTTGTGAAATGATGGACTCACCCTACCAATTACTGTCATTTTATTATTTCTATTCCCTCATAATATTTATACATATCACATATTTAAATCTTGTTAGCTTTAATTAATGTATCAAGAGTATGATCTGTATATACCATCAGTAAGTTCCTTTCAAGGCTACGAGCATAGTTTGAAATAGGTAAATGTGTGATCTAAAATGGCAAAAATTCTGTGTACCACATGAACCTGGTTCCTCTGTGTTTTGTGCTGGTCTCAGACTATCAATAACTAATGTGGTTGAACTGGCCTTTGCAGTTCTTATGATTGCAAAGTGCCCTTCAGCAATAACCATCAGGAAACTGAAAATATAGAGGTTTATTACTTACAAGACCTGGAAATTACACATACCTGGGGTCACAACGAGGCCCCGGGGAGGGAGAAAAAGAAGGGAGGGAGGAAGGGAGAGGTGAGAGAGAGAGAGAGACAGAGAGACAGAGAGAAAGCAGAGACCACAAACACTGGGGCCATGAGTTCTATTTTTACTGGTTCAAGGGTGGGGGCCTAGGGCTTACACATGCTCACTCCTTATTTGTGAATTTAAAACGTAAGAATGGGAATTTAAAGTGCAAGAAAGAGAAAAGACAAGTGGCTCAATGGGTCAATTATCTATCAAAAGCAACCAAGATTTCTAAATCAGACGAGCCTTAGGGGAAGGTGTCCTGGCTATTTATCTAGTCTATGGCTGGCAACGTAAGATAGCATTTTTGAAGTGGATGCCTCAGTAATCAAAGTATAAATCAGGCACTTACTTGCATTACAAGATAAAAAGACTCAGGACTGTCAGGGCTTCCCTACACTGCACCTCAGTGAGAGGCAGAATTCCCAAGCAGACTCTGGCCTCCTTCTGGTAGCAGTAAACAATCAGGGACCTGTGATGGCCACACACAGCAAGAAGGACAAAGTGTCACCTGTTCACCAGAATCTTTCTTTCCAACTCGTTCTGACTTCCTGGACTCCTGGTTTTGGTTACCTGGAATAATGGCCTTTGCCAGCTATGCTTGGCCTTACCTGACTTCCTGGACTCCAGCCTGAAGTATAATAACTTTGCCCCTCCCACCTGTCCACCTCCCAAGACCTTCCTGAAGCTCTTGAAGTATGGTATTTGCCAGAACCTACCTGGCTAGTCAGACTCTTTTGCATGTTCTCCTGGCCTGTATAACCTCATAACCATTAAGCAGTGAACTGCAGAAAACTCTTAGAAGTTCTGAAAAATAATTAGAAAATAAATTAGCTCTTATTCTAAACTGCCTCCTCTGTTACTATATTCTAACACTTACATGGGTTTTCCCTCTATTCTAATAGGCCTGACAGATGAAATTTCAAGAATATAGTGAGCATTGGGTGACCATTATCTGCAGGTATCTGACCTTTGCAAAAGGATTGTAGAGTGTGTTTGGTGTTTGTGTGTACTGAATCAACTTTGGTTGTTTTGCTAAGGTGTTGTTAAATGTTAGCTTGAACTAATAAGAAATAGTCTCATGAAAAATAAGGTGAAATCTAAACCATAAATATGGATGAAAACCAAACAAACTCACATCAGATATTGTTCCTACCATTAACAACAAGTATCTTTACATGGGATGACATAGTGACACGGTTTAGAGACAGCAGCATAAAAAAGGTGTCCTGTGTTTTCAGTGTCTTTGGAGAGTTGTTTTAATTGTCAAGGACAGAGATGGAAAGGGGGAGAAAGAGAATGTTAACTGGCTTTACCTAACAAAAACATGAGCTAATGTTACATATGCTGTTACTGCAAAATGATGAGTATTCAAAATTAACTCATTTTTGTATGCAAATTGTTTCAATCATTAAAACCATTCCAAAGTCCTCATGGGAAAGGAAAAGTGTTGTCTAGTTTCTAACCTGTGAAACTGAACAACAGGCAGATAAAATCTTGAAAGTTGTTCAACTGAACTAATTTGTTTTAAACACCTGATATTAAATATTTGAGTAAAATTTTGCTTACTAAGACTTGGAATAGTAGAAAATGTTAATTTCAGAATGTGTCAGACACAAAATGTGCTTGCATGTTCTAACCAGATTGGTTTATACAGAAAAAAGATACTTTCAGAGTAAGTCAGAGCTAAAGCTGTTGGCATCTGGGAGTTTTGTGAGTTCACGTGAAGGCAGGATGGCTCCTAAAATGAGCAGGGCACTAGGAACAAGAATCAAACTTAACTAACTACTGTTTCTAGCTCTGCCAATAACTAGTCTGGTGAGCCCAGGCAGGTCATTTGACTTCCTTTGGCCTGAATTTTTTTTTCACTAGAAATGGTCTGGGCTCTGATTTCTATGGTCAAACTATGAAATCATGTGATTTTTCTAGAAGTTTCTTTCATGATACAAATTGCTTTTTTATTTATGTCTGGGCTCATACTAAAGGTATTACTGGACCTTATCCAACCATAGCTTTGCAAACAGTATGGCCACAGAAAAGTTACTTGCGTCACTTGAACATTTATTCACACTCAAACAATACCTGGCAAATAAAGAAAGGTTCCTGAATTGTGATTGGCACAATGATACATGGTCAGCTGTACTGAGAATTTAAGCAAACTAGATACACTGTCAGGCTGCAGAATGAAGGTAAGGGCTAATATGCAAGGTGAGGGCTTACCTGCATTTGTGAACCAAACCAGTGTTGTAAATTGTAGGTATAAGCCCATCTGTATAACATTGTTTCTTTATGCATGTATCCAGTTTTGTTATTTTAGCAGTTTCCATACTCTTCTACCATTGGCTTTTCCACTAAAATACACACATACTCAGCAACTTTTTCTACCTCTCCCTGGCTATTCTATTCCATCTACAACCACAGTCCACCCTTTATTCTTGTTTCAGTGACATGACCAACCTTCTACCTTGGCTTGCTCTCTTCTCTCCCACACCTTAAATATAGTTGTAATGTAAGATACATTCCTAGACCCTTTGGCTTTCTGTGTTGGATCTCACTCCCTTAGAGTTTTCTTGAGTAACTGTCACAAATATATAGACAGCTCCATAATTCACATTTTTACTTTTGATCAGTTTTGTAAAGTTTAAAACTAGCTATCCACTGATACATTCATATTCATTAGGTTATTCACTAGACAGCACATATTTTGAAAGGACTATTTTTCAGACAGTGGAGTATTTGAGGGATTGTTCTTTAAATATGTCATTTCTAGAGAAATATGTGATGTCTCAATACTTCTGGATATTTAAAAGCATTCTCTGTTTTTTTATCGGACTAAGTTGTATGTCCTACTTTTTAAATTTATGACTCATTTTTTTATGACTTGGATATTATTTAGAAGAAACAATTTAAGAGTAAGACCACATTTTTAGAATATAATTTTCAACTCAGAGAATGTTGTTCTTGTATGTAAAATACAAGATGCAGATGTACTACTATTACATGAAACATGTTTCTAATCGAATTAATCATCTTCCTCTTCTCTTATCCAGGACTCTACACCACTTTCCATGTCACCTGCCCAAATCAACTCTCCCTTCTCTGTTTCTTTCTTTGGTCACCCATCCTTAAAACAGAGAAACCCATGGTTCTTCCCTTTCCCTCTTCACCTGAACTCTTAACCTGTCAGACCTTAGAAAGATTTTTGCTTCACATTACTTTTCAAAAGCACCCCTCTGCAATCTCTGCCCCTCCCCAAGTGAGAACACCCTGCATCTGTGATATTGCGGCAGGTTGCTAGCTGCAGTCTCGGTCCCTGACTCCCTTCTGAATCCCTTCTGATACCTGCCAGCTTAATATTTGTAAAGCATTTTATACCACACCGTCCTGTCATGAGTAGCTCTCCAGTAACTATGGAATGTAGACCAATCTTATGCATTCAAGATGCACTGCAACTATCTGAGCTCTTCAAGAAAAGGTAAATTGCTAGGTTTTGGGAAAAAAAGGGATTATTTCAAACTGAGAATTTTAATGTAAGGGGAGTTCTGATTCTTAGTGCTGTTTGTTTCTTTGTTTAACCTCCTGTCTGTGGATCTATTGTAAAATCAGCTTTCTTGGCAAACAGAAGTAAGAATCAATAACTGTGCAAATAAACTTTAATAACAAATACACTGACAACAGGAATAAGAAGGACAGAAAGCAGAGGTATTTGGCTTCCTGTCTGAGTGAGCTTACTAGACAATATGAGGATGATTTGGCAGCCAAAAGAGGTAATATCTTAAATGAGAGCAGTTAATATCAAGGTCAGACTTGAAGTAAAGCAATAATTTAAAGTATATGTTTAGCTCTATTAGATAGACT